ACAACTTACACGCCATCAGCATATTGTAAGTCGCGAAGTCCAGCTGCTAGGCAGTCAAATATTGATATGTGCACACATCACACCATCAACAATACTGTCATTACAGACGCATCAGATGTCACAAACTCCTACAAGATATTTGTCCAAAACCTGTTTGGGTGATGGCGAAAACCTGTTACAAAAATGCCTGGTAAATCTCCGAAATTATATACGTCGTCAAGACACATCTTTATTGTCAGGTTTACTCATTTTTTCTCTTTATCCTTTGTCTTGGCAGAACTTTCTTCTCTCGTAATGTTCAGACAATGGAAGTCTGACGAGACACACGCTCCGTGTAGTGAAACGTAGAAATCCCCACGCATCTCGTAGGCTGGGTCACACTGCTGTGTACTTATACATAGTGAGTATTGAAACGACATTTCGTTTCAATACTAAAGCAAAACTAGTTATTCAGAGCTTCTGTTGCAGGTGAATGATGTACAGTTGCACATTCATTGACAAAAGTAACAGTTTTTCCCGACGCTGCAAGAGCCTGTATTAACTTTCAGAATGAATTATCATAGATATTCATACATTATTACAAATTCAACGTTGTAGTAAACAAAAACAAGCACAAGAATAAACGTCGGCAGTTGTTTTTGGCAAGATTCTCAGTTCGATTTTAGAATGATTCCTCTTTTACTTGCTTTCCAAGAACTTGCTAATCATCAGTTTCTGAAAATAAATTAACTTACGTATATTCATCTACGCTTCTACTGATTATTCTACTTATGATACTTCTGGATAAACTAGAACGAAATCACCTAATACTCGATCCGAAGTGCCTTTCTGAATTTGTTAAGAATAATCTGGCCATTTCCTAAAAGGAGCGTATACTGAAATATGAAACAATCAAGTGCATGTATGTGTCTGGCTATCAGTTCGTATTGTTTCGACTCTTTAGAAAACGTTAGTACTTGCCTCTAGATTTAGTCCCCACATTATTCTCATTGTTAACCACACCTAAACCATTTTTTTTCTTATCTCCATAACCTTAGATGAAGACGGACCTCCTCTTGCGACACTGTGTTTGAATACTCTTTTGGCATCGATTAAAAAAAATGGCGTTCTAGTAACCAGTTATATTGTGTGAAAGGTTTCGTAATTCAAAAACACCAGTGTCGTAATCAGCAGGACTATAACCCAACCAGATAGTGTATAGATATTAAAGGCTACTTCATCCATTGTTTATTTTTCTTTCTCTTTGTGGCAGCGTTATATGTCCCATGTGGGATATGAGAAAGAGCATCAGTGAATCTCAAATAAAAATCAGTGATAATTCAGAAAATGGAATTCCGACTACTTCAAAGATACATGTAGTATCCAAGTTAGTATAGTATAGTTATACAAACAACTAACAACTCAACCCAAACTCTTTCGAGAAAGAAAATGGTGGGTAATAAAAAGAAACACACACACACACACACATACATGCATATATATATATATATATATATATATATATATATATATATATATAATTCCATGTATGCATAAATCTAAGTATTAAATGTCAGCTAATTAGAAAATATGTATGTATATATATATATATATATATATATATATATATGTGTGTGTGTGTGTGTGTGTGTGTGTGTGTGTGTGTGTGTGTAAGTATAACAGCTCAGTTAAGAAAGTAAAGATGAATAAAAATGTTTAAAAGATTATGTGCCAAAGTCGCATACATAGACGGGTATTGGAACTCGGTTGTTTACTTCAACGGCAGCTGTGGTCGCCTAAACAGCACCAGTCCCTATTGTAGGGGTTTGGAGGTAAATTACATTCTTTGTACTAGTTTATTCTCCTATTATTATGAGTTTATGTTGTATAAGTTTGTTAGCATTCAATAATGTGCTTTAATTGTGTTAATTGTGTGAATTATTACAAATTTAATAGTATATACAGTTGTTACGTTCCAAATTGTTTTGTTTTCAGTTTTACGTATGATTACGGATATGGAAGATGTAGCAATTGTATCCATCAGTTATGGAGAATAAAGAAAGAAGCAAATTCCATAGATGTATTCATTCAGTAAACCAACTCCAAAATAAAAAGGGCAAGGCCGCAGCGACAATATACATACACACACACACACACACACACACACACACACACACACATATATATATATATATATATGTGTGTGTGTGTGTGTGTGTATGTGTGCGTGCGTATGTATATGTATGTATATGTATATGTATATGTATATGTATATATATATATATATATATATATATATATATATATATATGTATATGTATATATATGTATGTATGTATGTATGTATACATATATATGTGTATAAATAAATAAATATATATATATAGAGAGAGAGGGAGACAGAGAGACAGAGAGAAACATAGAAACAGAGAGACAGAGAGAATCCTAGTAATCCAGAGCCCGGGGTGAGTTGCATTTTTTTTTCCTGAAATAGACGCTTCGTCAGATTTCTTCCACATCT